TTTCTTCCTCTCTCTCTCTGAAAAAGTTGAGGCTCAAAGAGATTAAGTCATTTTCCATGTTTACATAGTTTGTAAGCATGTTTTATGCCAGCAGGAAGAACCCAGTACAAGTTGAGAAACTGAAAATATAAAAGAGAGGTGATTTTATCTTGATCTTTTTTGTGAGTGTGGGCTCAGCAAGTTGAGACCCACAAAATGGAAATTCAAACTTCCAAACAGGCCCATGTGTTAGAAATTGGACAGGTGTAGAAGAGAGACTATGTTGATGTATTCTGATCATGTCAGAGCTAATTTTTATTGAACACTTACTATATGCCAAGCACTGAGTTAAGCATTTTACCTGCATTATCTCATTTAATTCCCAAAACAACCCCGTGAATTAGGTACTGTTATTGCCTGCATTTAACAGATGTGAAAACCAAAGCACAGAAAGATTCAGTGATTTACTCAAGGCCACATAGTTACTATGTGCTGGATCTTTCAGAGCCTTCACATGTCTGTTTGGAGGGGAAAACTGAGGCTGAGGGAGGTGAAGTCATTTTTCCAAGAGTCCATATCTAGTAAGTGCTGGAATTGTAGTTCAAACCCAGGCTCTGTCTGGTACCAAAGCCACCACACTGTTTTAATCACTACACTGTCATGAATGGAAGCTATTAAAATAGAGAATGTGTGTATATTTTTCTAGATCCAGCTCTGTAAGGCAAAATGTTCCCTGAATTTAGATGATGGTAAGAATTTGCCCTTATTCCAGGGAATTGATAGTGAGAGCATGTACTTCCTCAGTAATGCAACACACAGTATAATGCAACCAGGGTATTTGTAGAAAGCCTCATGGTGAAAGCAGAGACTGAGAAAAACAGAGCTACTCAGGCAGGGTGACAATAGCTGAGTTCTCATGTGACTTCTTCAGGTGGCTCCATGACATCAGACTTACTTCATCATCCTTCCATGAAGAGAATGCTCTGTGAGGGAGACAGCCCCTGGCTCAGATGCCCTTCTTCCTCCTGATCTAAGATTTGCTAACAAGCTGTGCTGATGCCACCAGCCCAAGTTTGTAGACTGTAAATGTTATCCCAGTTGTGGAGTGTGATGTAGCAAAGGGCATGAGGCTGGGAAGAGCAGCTCAATTGCTACCCCTTCAGAGATAACTGGCCCTCCCGTGGGAACAATGTGTGGAGCAGGCAGAGACAGATGGCTGTACTGCCAAAATCCCCACTACTGTACTCACTTGTCACTTCCAGGGACAAATGATATCTGGCGATTGGCTTTTGAAATATAGCTTGATACTAGTCTTCATATTTGGAGCATTATTAATGTTTAATCAGAACATTATCATTCTCAATCCATTGATGCAATGTACAAGGTTTTACTGTTTTCTTAACTTTGGTTCTGTTACATATAAAGACCAGCTAGCATGTGCGCACGTGTGTGTGTGTGTGAACTCTATCTGATTTTATAAGATCTCTTCGAGGTTTATTTTCTGTGATCAATAAGTTAACAGAAAGAGAATGAGCAGAAATGTGGTATACAATAAATCAAGTGAGAAGTCATGCTATCATTCTATATGCACATACTGAGTGTTGCTAGGTACCAGGAGCTGTGTGGGCTAAAAAGATGCAGTTCTTGCCCTCAAAGAGCTTATTTTCCATTTATTTCACTGAGCAAATGATAAAACTACCTGGCTTCCTAATCCCTTGGTGGTTCCTGTGCTTGGTTAGATTTGTCTTTCATCGACAGAACATCCTAGGAAGATCTTTAACCCTAACATAATGAAATCATATTTAAGTTTTGATAGCCAGAAATGATGAGATAATAATAATAATAATAATAACAACTACAGCATTGATAATAGCAAATGTTGGAGAGTAAATAGTAAAAGAGTGGAGAGAGACAAGTCGGGGCACATAGAAAGATTCTAAGGCGCTGTATGTTCTGGACAAAGTTGAGATATTTGTATCGCTCAGTTAAAAGAGAAAATAACTTCAAGAGTCAACATTTCAAGCTAGAAGTTTGCCCATTCTTTGGTGATAGGTGAGGAAAAATACTTATGGGAGAAAGTTAAAGGAATAAATTTTATTCACTATCTTTGTTCCACACAGAAGGCTCTTTTTGCTTTGCCCGTGAATTCTGGGAGAGCAAGAGGCCCTGCTAGTGGACCGAGGAAAAAGAGGAAGGCAGAACTGGTGTTCCAGAGAGCAGAGCAAACTGATGGGAAGATAGAGGCACTGATAGCTTTAACAACAACTGAATAAATAAAGCCCTTTCTCTGGAAAAATATATGTATAAAATATTTAGCTGGCATTAAATATTAACGATGAATTAATGAAAACACCCGAAACACTTTATTTATGTAGGAAGTTTTTCCCCCCCTTTTAAAAAAATGCTGTTTTAAGTCTCAAAATCATTTCAGATGTGATCCAGACAGAAAGTAGTGTGGTCTCTGGAGGGTACTACAAGAATGATGATAAACGGGAAGTGACCTCCAAGTGAGCCTCTTATATCACCTCCTGCCAATTCACTGTGGTAAGAAGGGTCCAAGGTCAAGAATTCCATAATTGAGTGGATTGCTAGGTGTTAGATGCACCCAGTGAGACCCAGCATTTCCCCCAACCCCTTTACATAAGTGGGAATGGTTAGGAAAATGAAAGCTATCTGCACCTGATTCTGACACCAATGCATCTCCCTTCTCTGCGTGGGGGCTCCTCTGGGGAGAGATAGTACCTTCCACCTGGCATTGCCTCTGAGTAGCTTTGTGAGCTCCTTTGGGCTATTATGTTAGTTGGTACTTTGGCTTCTTTGGCTCCCAGCACCAGCTGATGCCCTGATCTGAGTCCCAGTTGGGCAGGCTCTATTGCTCAGTGCTGTAGCTGTCTCCAGGGCATTGTTCTTGAGACTTCCAACAGGGCAGATTTGTGCAGTTGGCCCATCTGGACAAGATCTATAACAAGTAGAGCTCTGTGCAATAAGCTCATCTCCATAGTCCACCCCCCGCTACCCCCGCCTTCGGGCTGCAGCAGCCTGACACCCCAGCCCCGCCATGGAGACTATCAAAGAGTTACTCTCTGCTCCTTTCAAAAGGGTATTGCTTGTGGTCTCTCATTGATTGGCACTACCTGGGCAGAAATGGGAAAACAGGGGCTCTCTGCCCGTCTCAATTCAATCTCCTCCCTTAAGCCTGTTCTTTAGTTTTAAATCTTCTTAGCACCAGAGTGATAATATTGTCAATAAAAATAATTTCTGGCCCAGCTACACTAGTCAGCCCAGAATTCTCTCCTCAAAACCAAGAGACAGACAGGAGCAGTATCTCAGTGGACAGAAAAGAGCAGATAAGCTCAATAGGAAAAAGGGAGAAAGAAAACCAAGCTCTTGGTTTGAATATAGGATTGGTTTTGAACATTGGATTTATTGACTTTCAATTTGGAACACCATGTGGAGAGAGGAAGGCAGGAAGGGAGGGAGGAAGAGAAAGATAGAGAAAGAGAGAGAGAGAGAGAGAGAGAGACAGAGAGACAGAGAGACAGAGAGACAGAGAGATTGGACTTAATGTGGTTAATCATTCTAGCTCCAGAGAAAAGGAAAAGATGTCTAAGAGATCATTTCATCACCTCTTTCTTCCAGCTATTAGCCCCACACTTTGATCTCTCCAGTTTCAGTTCCTCACAGTTGGGTCACTTCGAAGAACTCAGTGTGCCAGACACATGGGTCCTCATGTCCTAATGGTATGTCAGGCCTGAAATGGGCTTTTCCACACCAACCCTCTCTATTCTGACATTTCTGATAGCTTCAACTGACTGCTACACCTCCTAACTGCTCCTCACTGTGGAAGGAGAAAGGAAGCAAGAAAAGGGGGAAGAAACGACTCTGACTCATGGCTCTCTACCTTCTACAACTGCTACCCTCAGGTTGGTCAAGTCAGTGTTTGTCCGGGATAGGGGTCCTCTATATGCCTACTTCCTCCCCAGGAACCTCGAAGCCCACTCTATCCTGAACAAGATTGCATGCCACCATTATTTGCTCATGAAAAGGAGGTGAAGGAGCAAGTTGGAAATGAGGGATCCTGAAAAATAAAGAAACTTTGGAGAAAAAAAGAAACAAATGAAAGCCCAGCCAACAAACGACTCTGAGGATAGTTTCTGTATTCTACTCCTCCTGGGTCCTACTACCTTGGATCTCCCTTTTCTTGAAAGTTTTCTAGCATCATCAAGTAAGTTTCTTAAAGAATAACCTTTTCTCTCTTTTTATACTCCCCAGCAGTCCAACAGACCCTGCCAACCATGTTAGTTAGTTAGGAATAGAATACATATTTCTGAGACCAGGAAGTTTAGATGGATCTAGAAGGGTGGTCTTTCTGAGAGTCCAATTTTTCTGCCCCAATTCTGACAGTGTGGGGCTTCCCAGGAGACTTGTACGCCTCTCTGTTGGGTGCCCTAGCCCAGTGCAGCCCATGACTGCTCCAACCTTGTTGAGAGGTGGGGAATCTGTGACTTTGCCTTCCTCTCACTGCAAGGAAACCTGCCTGGGTCACATAGGGCAGTACTTGTGGATAGAAAAGACTCCTTATTTGAGTCTACAGTAGGAGGGACAGAAAGGGCAAAGTAATGGCCAGGCTCTAGGTGGGAGTGGTGCAGATTAAGATGACAAATGCCAGAATCTAGTAGCAGTGGTCTGAATAGTCTCCACTGGAGTATTGGAAAACAGAGAGGCTTCAGCAAGGGCAGAAGGTCATCCTGGCCCCAGGAACATGGCTAAACCTCAGTCTCATGAGAAATGGGAGAGTATGAAGAAAATCTAGGCTAGGGTAGACAAGCCATCTTTGTAAGTACAGCCACCATTGGCACCATGCAGTATAGGCCCACATAGCTTTGGGACTGGTAGTTGAAGTTCTGAGTTGGGAGATCAGGAAGGAACTGTTCAAGCCCCTGATGGAGTCTAAAGGAGGGGGAAAGCCACCCAGGAGGAAGCAGGAAGCCAGCAGCTGGACTCTATAGCCTTCACCCTATTCACAGTGCCTGGTGGATATCTTCTGACTGCAGCACTTTATAGACAACCCAGTAGAAGATATTGAAGATGAGGAAAGTGAAAGGGAAGACAGCCCGGGAGATGGTGTCAATTCTCTTGGCTCGGTCCACGTAGAGTTTCCTCATGGTTTCTCCCTCCCTTAGAAGAGGGGCTGGAGGTTGGGGGCTATAAATGCCAGAACCTTCCATTGGACCCCCATCCCTTGCCTGCAGGCAGTGGCCCAAGCCATAGCCACGGAAATAGAAGCGACTTTCTCGGATGATATCTTCCTCCTGAAGGAAGAAAAGGCAGAATTTGAGGTCAAAGCTCTAAGGCAGAGGGACAGAGACCAGGCCACACATTAATATCTCATAGGTGATGCTATGCAGACAAGGTGGCTGGGCACACAGGCCCACTGTATGCTTTTTATGGCAACAAAACTACTCATGAGATAGATGTATGCTAAGCAGCTATATGTGGTATGTATGGTATGTGTTATGATTCCGTTTGCAGATAGGCCCCGAGCTGCCTTTGTGAAATGCATAACATCATTCAGTGCCATCTAAAACCTAGTGAAGTGCCAGCCACTGTGAGAGGGACATCTCAATGTCAAGTTATCTCTGACTGGTAATAAACAGAACAACAAGACCATTAGCCAGTGAAGCTGAGATATTTAAACTTAGTGCACTTGACTTTAATGACTTTCAAAAGCTTAGAATTTGTTTTTGTATATAGTATCTTTTTTAAAAGTTATCTTGACTTAAAGCTGAAAATTCTAAAAGTTTAAAATAACCTTATGGGTTATCTAAATTAGGGTAAGGCTGCTCACTCTATTGCAGCTATGTGTGCTTCTCTGTAAATTTGAAATAGGGGTCGGTACATCCAGGGTAACATTCATTACCCAATGCATATTCCATTCATAGACAATGCATGCCTTATGGTAAACACATTAACACAGAAGAGGTAAACTTTATATAAGCACTAAGTAATGGGGCAGACTGCAGAAAGGCCATTTATCCAATAATCAGCTGACAATCTTAAGTAGCTATGACACAGCTGGGAGCCAGGAAGTAAGGACAGAAAGAAAGAGATAAAAGATAGAGATGGAAACAGAGAGAGAAATAGAGACAGAGCTAGAGAGAGAGAGGGAGAGAGAGAGTGGGCCAAAGCCCCTGAGTGATCAATAGTGAGAGCTTTACTTAATATGAGGCCCTCAGACCCCCACTCATAGCCTATTTACTCTTATTTTATATATGACCCAAACAAGCCTAATTTGATTTACATCTAAAGGACAGAGTTGAGAAACACTTCCTTTAAATATTTTTATTATTTTAAAAAGCACTGATAGTTTTGGAGTAAAATCGTCGGCTGTCTAAGAAATCACCGGAAGTGCAGTGGCCCCTTGTAGGATGATGCCAGCTACCATCTCAGTTTGCCCAGGACTGAGAGGGTTCCTGAGACTTTCACTGCTAAAACTGGGGGGGTCCAAGGCAAATCAGGAAAAGTTGGTCACCCTACAGCTACCTGAGGCATTTACTATAAGTTAAAAGAACAAGATAAGCGTATATTTTATGGGTATAACATATGTGTGTATGTGTGTGTATAAAATGTGGAGAAAGTAGGTTTTAAACACTGTGCAGTTAGAGGGGCATCATAGGGTCTTTATAATGGGACCTCTGCAGCCATGATAACACACTGAAAAGTGGCTTCATAGATGAGATGTTGGTGTGCTGGGTCCCAGTAACCCTTGATTACGACATCACCAGAAGCTGACCTGACATTACACAGGCAGGCCAGTTACTGGACATCAGGGGCAGGCACGCTCAGGCCGGAGATTGGCCCACAGATCCCATCTTTTTGCTGTGCTGCCTGTGGGCTCATAGTATAAACTTGGGAAACGGCATCAGGCTTGGTCATGCCGTCTCCCCAGTGCCTATTGCCACACCTGGAAACTAACAGGCACTCAGTAGATATCCACTGAATGAATGAAGGGACTGATGAACCACATGCTTCAGAATATAGGGAAAGGAATGGCTTGTGAAGCCAGTATCCTCTCAGGGTCTCAAATTGAAGATCCAACTCAGAAGAGAATCTTACTGTTACAAAGTACTTGGCAGGAAAAACACTTTCTCCCTGCCCCACCATGCACAGTGGCCTGATGCCCTTTGGCCTCTAGAAAAGCAGTGGTACTTTTAGCATAGTTAAGACTCTCTCTAAATCTGCCCACCAGAGAGCTTTGCTGCCCAACCCTTGATTTTGTCAGAGTCTTTGTGGAGAGAGTTGTACATGTGTGGGTCAGAAGCAGTTCACTGTTGCGGTCATACTTTGGCTCTGAGTTGCTGTAGTGGGGCAGCATTAGCTCTCTGCTCAAAGTTATTTCCATAGCCTCATTCACCAGAGGCCTCGGCTCACCCTACACTATTCTCTAATCCATTTTCACACTATTCTGACAGGAGAGGTTGTGGCGGACTCATTTTAGAGATGAAGAACCAGAGGCAAACAAATTATCTCACAAGGAATTGAGAAATGAGGGCGGTAAGTAAAAGGATTTTCTCCCTTGTTGTCCAGTTCAGGGTCCCTCAGGCCACCCTGTTCCCCACTGTTTACCCTTATCCCCTCAGCGGCCCAGCTAGAGGACATAAGCCTGGAATGTTTGCCAAAAATCTCTGAAGGAGAAAGTTGGATCCAACTGCTACTTCTGTTTCTATAGATCCAATTATCTTCCCTTTTCTCCAATCACAGTAAACTTAGAGGGAATTTTGGGGAAATATTTAATATTTCCCAGGCTGGAAAAAAGCCATTTCGCATGGGAGAGAAAAGATGGCCAATAGAGTAAGCTGCTCTAGGCTCTTTTTGATTTTAACATATTGTACCTTTTGTAGTTGAGGAATTGAAGATGGGTGGCCTGAAATCCAAGGGTAGGTGGTCCTGCATTTGGATATTATCTATTTAGATCAAATTCTGAGGGGTATCTGTGTGTGCTGGGGAGGGATGATGGAGCCTTAAATGCCACTTTGTGGCTTCCATGGCTGTTGAAATAGAACGTTTTTTGTGTGGCTGTTTATAGGGGAGAAGGGCTGAGAAGCTGGAGAGGGAAGATATTCCAAAAGCAAGCTGGGGAGAGAACGCACAGTGTAGGAGGCAAGGTGTGGAGATGGGAAGGAGTGATACACATTAAAGTGAGAGAGGCCGGAAGAAAAGAGATTGGAGAATGGGGAATGGAAGAGGGTGCTAAAGGATGCAGAGAGGTGACCAGGGTTCTGGGATCAAGCGTCTGAGAGGACTGAGCAGTATTTTGAAATTTCTTCCAGCTCTCAAGTTATTCTATTGATCATGGCAAGGCTTTCACATGTTCAGTTTGAGAGGGAGCCCTTGCCAATCAGCCTGCAAAAGTTGGTAGGCTGGGTTATGCGGTTGCTGTGGCCAGAGCCTGGTGCTCAGGCCTGCTGAGGTGATGAGAAAGGGAGCTTCCCCCTTCCCTGGGAGGCCTATAGACTAGCTGGGAAGACAAAGTAGGAGTACACTGAAAACATTAAGCCACTTTAGACAGTGACATGGAAGGAAACCCCCGTGCCATGGAGATGGGTGGGTGAGGAGAGATTAGAGAAGAAAAGGACCCAGCCTGGAGCTGGGTCAACAGCTGGCTGACTCCTAGAACATTCCTAATTTGCTCTTGGCTAATGGTTCCCCAAAAATGTTATGGATTCCCCTCCCTCCTCCAACAGGGCTCCTCTCAGACAGAGGACTTCTGCTTCTCTATCTGGAACAGGAAGGCCCAGGGCCTGCTTGGTGCCTCGAGGATTCCTGCCACAGGCAATGGGATGGCAATGGCTTTAGAAGACTTGAAAAAGGGACAGGATTAATGGAACAGGTTTGATTTTCAGGTTTTATTCACATTTATAACAAGCCTCAGCCCACTTTCAGGCAGGCTTCAGGGTCCTCAGCAGGGAGGGCCCAGGCTGCTGTCATAACTCTGTAATAATTGAGCCCTGGCTATGACACGCTCACTCCATTATGAGCTCAGGAGCAATGTGTATATGAGCAGGAGGAGACAGGCTGTGGGCAGTTGGGAGTTGGAGGAGTGCAGGGAAGGAGGTGGGACCAGTGTCAACCTGGAGTAGCTCTACAGTAACTCTGGCAGCCTTTTGTTGCTGGGACATCCACACAGGCAATTTAGCTGGCAAAAGGACTCTGGATTGGTTGGCAGCCTGCTCTTCATTTCCAAGGTAGGCATTGAGAAGGCATCAAGATAGAAACCCCTATAAAGATAAGAGTTTGGTACCTGTAGGCAGATCTGACACAGCCAAAGAGGGGATGGGGACAGTTAGCTCAGAAAAGGGAGCATCGTCTTTTCTTGCCCTTCTGCCAGATCTCTCAATTTTTTTTTCTAACCCGCGATAAGGGACTGAAAAGGCTTTTAGGTCTTATGAAGAATGAGTCCTACTCAAGGAGATGCAGTTGTGGATCAATCCACTAGAGGGCATGTCTCCCAGGGCCCAACGGAAGGACTAAAGTGAGGCAAGAATTGATACATTCAGACAAACCACTAAATGAGACAGGAGTCCTGCCCTCAGCAGAAAGGGCCCTTAGCGAGCCACATGAAACCATGGAGGTGGTTTGTGAGGTATTTTTAGTGCGGACATATGGTAAGGGTGCCCCGGAACAGTTGAGGTGGGAGGTGGAGTGTTGGGAAGAGTCCTTGTTCTGGTGTGGCCCAGATAGCCTAGAGCCAGGATTTTAACAGCGGGTTCAGATCATTGTTTTCTATGCACCCAGAGGTCATTATGTGCTTGTCCCTTTGGTTTTAGAGTCCCGGGATTAGGCAGCAAACAGGGAGTCAGAGCTCAAGACAAACCAGAACTCTGTCTCTCTGGTGATTAAGCAACCAGTATGTAGCTCAACAAAAGCTTTCAGCTTCCCTCATAATTGGACACCTGCTTCTGTGAGGGTGGCGCAGGCACCTCGGTTGTCATGACAACTTACCTAGCACCTATTGTCTGGGCAGTTGGGGGATAAACTGCCTCTGTTGTCATGACAACAAGATTCCTCTTATGTTTCCCCAGGTGATCACTCTACTGTAGAAGAAATGGGGTTGACAGACAAGAGTGTGGGAGAACAACAGCTCAAGCCCAACAACTCTGATGCACCCAATGAAGATCAAAGAGAAGAAGTTCAACAGCAAGAAGAGGCAAGTAGTAGTTTTTCAATTCCAGCTTAGTTATGGGGACCCTCTTATAATGCTCACCTAAAAAGGCACCAATGCCTGACTCTTGAATTCTTAACCACCAATTAGTGTATGACAACCTGGGGTAAGGGGAGAGCCTCTGGGGTGAGGGGAGAGCCAGGAGTAACCATCACTACTTCTCAAAGCAATTTCATATTGGCTAACTTTGATAAGGTTCTAATGCTAGCTAACATTTTCAGTGCTTATTCTGTGCTGGGCACTGTGCCCATGCTCTTAATCAATCACTACTATATGGTTCACAGGAATTAATGTCCCATTGGACAGATAAGGAAACAGAATTAAAGAGGTTCAAGTCTTAGCTTAACTGTGACCAGCCTGGGAATAGAATCCAGGGCTCGCGATTGCCTGTCTAGTCCTTGCACCGCTAGGTTGGGTCTTGGTTTATGGGAGGAGTAGTAGGGAGGAAGGAGTCCAAAGGAGAAAGGCAGTGGGCCCCTCCCTAGTTGTACTCACCATGCGTTGGCGCCTCTGCCTTCTTCGAAGTCGTATGAATTCCTTATGCTGACGGGAGACAAAATTGACTGCAGCGTACTCCAGTAGGGCAGCGAACACAAAGAGCAGGCACACAGCCATCCAGATGTCAATTGCCTTCACGTACGACACCTAGAACATCCATCAACAGAAGAGTCAACTTTCCTGGAATCCTTCCATGGCCTATGCAGTGGGTTTCCAGCCCGTATCAATTGCCTGATGTTCTTCAGTTTTATCCTGAACTTCTTCTGGTTTTCAAAGAAGCTTTCCACGATATGGCCCATTGTCTGAAGGCCCATATCGAAGAGATCGGGCTACCTATCCTCCTCCAACTCTCTGCACTCTCCAACTTCTACTTCTACCTGCCTGTCCTTCCTATACTTCTTTTCCTCTATTTCTTTACTCTTTTTGTGCTTCTCCTTCTGCTTCTGATTATTCTTTTCATTCTTATCTTCTCTTGATTCCTTTCTTTCAATAAACAGCAATGAACATGAACACTGTGTTTGTTTGCCCTCTGTTATCTCCTGGGATCCTCACAGCCACGGTGCTAATTGGGCAGGGTTCATGATTCCCAGGTGACACACGTGAAGATGCTTAAGGCTCAGAGAGAGTCTTAGCCAAGATTACCCAGTGAGAAGGTAGCACTACGACTTGGGGGTCCTGGGCTTTTGATTCGGAGGCATTGCCAAAGCCTATAGTTTGACAGACTAGGAGCTCCTTCCTTTCCCTCTTCCTCCCCTGTTCTTTCCTAGACCCTGTGGTTTTTCCTGCTGTTCTTTGTGAGAGGCGCTGCTGAAGAATTGAGCTTAGGAGTGAGCTGTGGCCTCATCTCTCAACCTGGAGAGGAGAACAGGGCAGGGATCCCAAGGGCGCACCACCTACCCCCTCTAAGGATGCTTTGCAAATTGCAAGGCATTGTTGGTGCCCACCTAACCAGCCCCTAGTGCTCTCCTCTCACTACCTGCCTTGGCAGCCTCCAAGTACTTTTCTCTCTCACTTCCCTTGTGAAGGTTGAACACTGGCCTCTCCTGGAACAGGGTTGCAGCTACGTGGGGCCAGGAAGGGGGACAGAGCTTGAGTTTAAAAGAACTTTTCACCTCCTCAGCCAGATTGCCTCCCTACATAGTTTAGAGCCACTGAGCTCACCCCATAGCGCTACCCAGCAGCAGGAGGATTTAAGACAGGCCACTTATTTCATCAGCCTCTGCTATGTTGGGCAATGAGAGTGCTGCAGACTTCAGGTAAGGAGTGGGCTTCACTGGTTAAACCCTCGACCTCAGTGGTTCTTAACTGGAGACAATCTGCCCACCCCAGGGGCATTTGGCAATGTTTAGAGACATTTTTGGTGGCACAATTTTGGGCTGGTGATGGCTATGAGCATCTAATGGCTAGAGGCCAGGTATGCTGCCAAATATCCTATAGTGTACAGCCCCATGCCTGACCCCCAACACACACACACACACCCCAAAGAATTATATGGCCCCAAATGGCAACAGGGCTAAGGATGAGAAAACCACTTTACTTCTTTTGGGCAATGTCATTGAGATGGTGGCTGTGGATTACTAGGCCACCCTGATTAAGCATCCTTTGGTGTCTCCACTTTGCCACTTAGTAAGAAGGCATCCTATTTCATTCACCATCCCCTAGTCCCACTGTGCCCCAAGGATGTCAGATACCTCCTATGAAGATCAATAATGAGTTAATGACAAGGGAGGGCCATGAAGGTGCTTTGGACCATCAAAAGAAAGGACACCCTAAGCACCAGGAAGAAAGTCTTGTTAATGATGAGAATGTCAATGATAGGTCTTTAAAAATCTCAGGAATCTGTTCACTCACTATTCTAGGTCATCTGAAAAACTGCAACAGTTTCCTAAATGGTCTCGCTGCATCTACTCTTGCCACCTCCAATCTGTTCTCCAAACAGCAGCCAGAGTTTTGGTTTCAAAATGTAAATCTGATCATATCACGCCCCTGCTCACAACTTTTCCATAGTTCTCCATTACCTTTATGATAGGGTCTGCGCTCCCATTACCATGGCATCTGGCTTCTGCCTACCTCTTCGGTCTCATCGCACCCTTTGCAATCTATGATTCTGCTATGGTGAACTATTTCAGTTGTTTCCCAAGGAGCCAATCTTCCTTCCCCTTTCTTTACTTGGATAACTTTTACTTATCCTTCAGCTTTCACTTTAGATACCACATCCTCTGGGAAGCCTTCCCTGATCATCTCAGTCATGTTGGTTGTCCTGCTATATGTGCCCAGGTTATCCACACCTTCTTAGCATCCATCACACACCTAGCCATTCCCTTCACTAGCTCTTCGACGTCAGGGACTGTTTCCATCTCATTTACTATTCTATCTCCAATGCCTATCTGAATGCCTGGCATATAATACATTTTTTTGAATGAATGGCTGAATGAATGGTTTAGCAATGAGTTTGTCTCTGCTGGCTTCTGCTTCTCTCTTTGCCCTCCTCACCAAGAGCTACCTACCTGCCCCAAGAGTTGTAGGCCATTTAGATTACAGGATCTAGAGAAAATTGGGTCTTTCCTCCCTGCTGCAACTTCAGGTCTAGTCTGCCAGTCTCTGGTAAAAGCTTCCATTTAGCCCCTCCATTCTTCTCTGAGCTACCTGCAGTTAAGGAGATCAAAGGCCTGGCAAAACAATGGTAATCAGTGCCCTTGGGTGGCCCCATAAGGACAAAGAAGGAATGGTTTCCTGGGAACATGGGGAATGGCCACCCTAGCTGAGTTCCCTTACAAAATAAGCCTCTGCCACTCTCATCCTGAACACTAAAGTTATATTCGGGTGGTGGGGGGTTGGTGTGGCTTCCAGAAGCCCCTGGCTTGGCTCCATCTCTTTCCTTGGGGCTCCCACCAAACCTAGTGTTGCACAAACTCAAGAGTGAGCAGATACTCCCTGGTTTACTGAGTCCCTTGCTCTGTGGGGCTGGCTAACGAGGCTATTTAGTTTGGGGTACATGCCTGGATATTTTGCTTACTGGCCAATGAAGCCATGAAAAAGTCATTAAAATCTGACAAGAAGGCACCAAATGCTGCAAACAAACAACTCTCCAATAAAGTCCACTTTTTCCAAATGAGGAAACTAAGTGATTCCTGAGAGCAGATGGATGCTGTTCACCCACAGGAGGGGGCCACAAAAGGAAATTCTCTTGGCAAGAATAAGGCATAAATTGCACTACATCCCTGAGTTAAAGAAGAATCTCCTTGCGTGGCAGAGGCAATAAACTAGGGCAGGGTTCTTGGATCTGAACTCTGGTCTCCATACAAAGCCACTATCAAAACACAGCCACCACAGTCCAGCCTGGCCCTGCTGCCCTTGCTTAAGTCCAGCTTGCTTCTCAGAGCCTCATCAATATCCCTGTCCATCCAGGAAATACATTTACAGAAAATGATCCCTGACAACTTTTCCTGGGACCCTTGATCCTGATCCGAGCTTTGTCATTGTTTATCCCTATTGGGATCTGGACTGCCTCAAAGGTTTCCCGACAACTCAAAAATAACTGGGGACAACACCAGCTGCTTTCATCCCAGATCCACCACTCAATCTCAATTTTTTCAACCCTGACACCTAATATTAATAATTATAACAATACTCAACATTTATTGAGCCGTTACTATGTGCCAAACACTGTCCTGTGTGTTGATACATTATTTATTTTTCACAGTAACCCTCTGGAAGAGGTAAAATTCTTATTCCCATGTTACAAACAAGGAGATTTAGAGGTAAGAAATTTGTCTAAGGTCATGCTATTAGTTAATGATGAGGCTGGTACTCAAACCCAAATCTGCCTGACTCTAATCTCCTAATCTCAACCACTACTCCATATAGCTAATTTACAAAGTTACCAGGATATCCCAGATTACCCCCTGTTTAAGTTCCCAATAAAAAGTCATATTAGAAACAAGCACTAAGAGATGGGAGATCACAGGGCCTGGTTCCCAACAAATCAGTGCAAGAGGGAATATATTCACTATAAGATCCACAAGGAATAGTGTTGCTTTCATTTCCCATCATTTCTCCATGACAAAGTACAGTGCCTGGTACGTAGTACATGCTCAATAAATATTTATTAAATGAATAAATGGCCTTGCTCCCTGATTCACTCAGAGCCTTGCTGACTATAAGGACTTTGCGGTGACCTCTAAATTCCCTACATGATGATATGAGGCAGGGAAAACCTCTGCACAGTCTCATCAGCACAAATATTTCTGCATAATCAAAACATCACCAGGCCCCAGATGACCAGAGTCCACTAACTCTAATTGCTATTTGCTACCTCCAAATGCTCTCATCCCCAAAGAATGGTCACTGTCTCTAGAGCTCTTTGTAATTGTACCTGATTTCTGAAATAGTAAGACGACAGAAATTGGTTCAAAATCCTGATACTTCTTTGGTTATTTCTTGTAGGGCATAACCTTGGAAGGTCATTTTACCTCTCTGGGCTTTATTATCCTTCTCTGTACCATGAGGGACTAGGACTTTCTCCTTGCTAAGGATCTTTTGGTGTTGGACATGCTAGTGTTTCCTGAAGAAAGTCAAAGTAGGTAAGGCACTGTTTCTACTTATTCCCTAGCCAGACAGCATTGCTAACTCCAGCCTCCACATTGTTAGCAATGTCATTAGCAATATGTTCTGGGGGAAGAGAGAATGCAGGACACCAGCTCTTGCTCAGTGGCTTTTCTCAACCTTAAATCCAAAGTAAATAGTGAGCAGGAGGGCACATGGGATGAATGGGAAATGGAGAGCCTTAGAGCAAACAAGTCTTGCATGTCTCTTCACCTTAGGCAAAGAGGCCCGGGAGCCAGAGCTCTGGGTGGTCATGGTGAGCACGGTGGTGATGCCCAGGCCCACACGGGCAGGAGCAGCATCCATGTTGATCCAGAAGGAGACCCAGGACAGGATGACAATGAGTAGGCTGGGGATGTACATCTGAATCAGATAGTAGCCCATCTGCCGTTCCAGGTGAAACTTGACCTCGATACAGGTGAATTTCCCTGCAAGAAAAGAAGTGATGTCTCAGGGTCCAGGTCCCCAGCCTGTGACTGAGCCTGAGGTAACTAGGGTAAGACTAGGGCACCTGATCTCTGCTGGCCAGCCTCTGGGTACCTCAGCTGGGCCAATAAATGAGCCTTTCAAAATGGCCCCAGTTAGTGCCAGATGTATGTACTAAGGAAACTCTCAGAGCGGCCATTGAAGACTTGGCCTCTTGCTCCTAGCACTTTCACATGACAGCACAGCAAGAGGATAAATAGCAGAGGGGCTCCAGAGTCAGACTCCCTCGGTTTGAATCCTGAACCTTCCACTCATTAGCTGTGTGACCTTGGGCAAAACACCCAAACTTTTTGAGCTTCAGTTTCCTTGCCTGTAAAACAGTAATAACAATACCAACTCCATCACTGGGCTATTGGAAAAATTAAATGAGATCATGTATTTGAGGTGTTGGGCACATAGGTAGCTGTTACTATTGTTATCTTTATTAACAAAGCAATTAGCTTAGACTCCATTCAGATCTCAGCAGCCCAGCCTGCACTTGCTAGTACCCCAGAACAGAAGCTCTCTAGCAACAACAATTCACTGAGATAAACACTGCCTGTGTCTTAAGCAACTGAGAAGAGCTGGATAGCAAACATCTGGAAACAATGCCCAACAGAGACCAGCTCTGAACAGCAGGCAGCGGGTTTCCATAGAGCATCGGGCAGCGGTAATCTATTCCACCAACAAAAAGTGCATTGGCCCCAAGCACATGGACTGAAGCTTGGCCTCCTCTGCCAGCCTTCTTCACTTTATTCTGCTTCCCGTGGCCCCAAGGCTAAGAAAACACTAGGTCAGAGCTTCTCTCAATAACAGAGGCTCAGGATGACCCAAGCAAAAAGGAGAGGATGTGTATGTTACTTTGTTCTGGTCTTATCAGGCCTACCTGAATCCTCAAGGCCAGTGATTTCATCAATAACTGATTAAGGCTTTGGCATGTTGTAGGCTATTGTGACCACCTACTGTTCCTGAGTCCACCTCACCTCACCCTACCCCGGCTTTACTAAGCCCCTGTATTTTCTTTCCCGTCCCACCTTTCCTTCTTTTTTTCTTTGTGTAATAGCCGGATTTTTTTTGGTTTTGTTTTTATTTTTTGAGACAGGGTCTTGCTCTGTCTCCTGGGCTAGAGTGCTGTGGCATATCATCATAGTTCACTATAACCTCAAACTCCTGGATTCAAACCATCCTCCTGCCTCAGCCTCCCAAGTGGCTGGGACTACAGGTGCACCAACCACATCTGGTTAATTTTTCTATTTTTTGTAGAGAGGGGGTCTTGCTCTTGCTCAAGCTGGTCCCAAACTCCTGGCCTCAAGCGATCCTCCCACCTTGGCCTCCTAAAATGCTAAGATTACAGGCGTGAGTCACCAGCACCGAGCCAGCAGTTTTGTTTTTAATTAAAAAATTAACACTAGTTTAGTACAGAAAATTGAGAAGTAGAGAAGGAATAATAATATTCATAAGATTACATTTAGGATCCCCCTACTAAGCAACCTGACTCTATATACTTTGTCTCATTTAATCCTACAGCAACTCTTTGGGGTAAGTAAAATTATCTCTCATATCAAAGACAGGGATACTGAGACACGAAGAAATTAAGTTATGTTTCTCAAGGGCACTCAGCTAATGAATAGTGAAATCCAAGCTCAGCTCTATCTGCCCTCAAAATTCTTGTTCTTATCCGTTGTGTCCACATATCTTTAGAAACATTTAGTTCTATCTCCTTCCAGGATTTTTAAATGCATGTTTTTGGGTTTTTTTTAACTACAATGTAATCATTTTGTGTATATAACTCTGAATCTTACCTTCTTTCACTCATACTTTCCCACGTTGATATAAGCACCTTGTAAGCATCCTTTTTAATGTCTGCATACTATTCCACCAAACAGATGCATTATGTAATTTATTTAACCTCTGCCCTATTGGCGGATATTTAGAACAGTTTCAAGTTTTTGCTAGTATAAACAGTGACCCAGAAGCCCCCTTGGGGTTTAAAGTCAATGTGATATTTTGGAATATTTCCTTATAATACATTCCAAGGTGTCGGATTCCTGGATAATTAAGTAGCAAAAAAAATTGAGCTTCTAGACTAAGGTTTCTCAAAGTATATTTCCTCGACCACCTAATTCAGAATCCTCAGGATACCTGTTAAAGGGCAGATTTATGAGCATTACTCCAAGTGTACGTAATTGGAATCTCTGAGAGATAGAGCCCAAGAATCAACATTTTAACAGACTCCCCTGGGGAACATAATGCACACCAAAGTTTGAAAACCATTGACCTATATACAGATTGCCAACTTTTTTCCCCAAAAGGTTATACCAATTCCACTCCCACCTGCATTTTCTAAATTCAATGGCCTTTTTCTCTCCCCACTCCCCACACCCCCATGTATATGCACACACATATTCATGGGGCAGCACCCAAAGCATATCAGGGTACCATGGGAGGGACCCAGGACCTTTTCCTCTTCAGCCTGCTGCCTCTATCTCAGGGTCAGAGCTCCTGGCAGCCAAATTGCCAGGGGAAATGAGGAGCTGCAGGGAGCAGATGTTCAGACTGAAAAGTAGCCCTTCTCCACTTTTTGGCTCACGTTTCACACCTGGGAAAATATGGCAGCTCATGAGAGCAGGGCAGTGGTGGCAGCAGTGGGAGGTGGGCGCAGTAAGCAGGCTGCTGCCCTCAGGCCTGTTCCCTCCCTGTTCAGCACAGCCGCTGATCACGCTCAGACATGCATGCCCCAGCTTCCACACAGAGTTGGCTCTAGGAAAAGTGGGAAACTCCTGCCACTCACTGTAACAGGCCCATTTGCTCTGCAGCATGTGACAGGGACAGGAACATGGACTGTGGAGTTACACAGATCTGGATTTGAATTCCAAACCTGCCATTTACTAGCTATGTCACTTGGACAATTGATTTAACCTCTTAGAACCTTGGTTTTCCTTTTCTGAAAAAATGGTGTTGGTAATCACTACCACAATGAGATATGACATATGAAGCACCTGGCACCATATCTGGCATAGATTGGGCATTCAATAGAGGCTGGCTGCCTTGTCCCCTTGCTTCGCATCTGAAGGTTCTCCTGTGGCTCATAGCCAGTAAAATCCTGGTTTTTACCTGTGTTGTAGTGCTTGGTACAATAGCCTAGATCCTTCTCATCCCGCAAGATAAACTGGGGCAGAGTCAGCCCCTCAGCCACTTGGACAGCAGGAGCATCTTCCAGCCACTCAAACACGAGGTCATTCATGGTGTAGCCAACTGAAAGTGACAGAGATGGCAAAGGGCTGCAGAGTGTGGGTGTTGGGTGGGGGTAGGGACAGGGTTAGAACTGGTAGGAGAAAACAGTCGACAAGTCAGGCCTGGGGTTTAGGAGCTTCATGCTCATCTTGGAAAGGGAAACTTTTCTGAAGGGGGTACTTGGTCACTGTCTCATGGGCCCATCCTAAGTTGGTAAATCAGAAAGATTCCGGACTCCTACTCAGTTCTCAAGCTCAAGGAAGGCCCAAACAGAAATTATTCTGGCAGACCTAGAAAGCAGGTCAAGAGGGTTGGAAAGATGTCAAGGAACCCAGCTGGGAGCCTCCTGCCATATCTCAAGCCCAGGGGAGTAAGCATGTGTACCAACCACATGTCTTGATCTGAGCCAGCCTCAGAGTCAGGGCTTCTGCCACCTCACCTCAGGGAGGAGAGAGCTATTTATATCCTGCCAGTCATGCATGGGACAATGTGCATACCACAGACTCCTAGCCAGGGCCTTGAATTGGGGCAGATTGAGAGCTAATATCTGAACATGCCAAGTTGTTCACAGATAGCTAGCAATTCAAGAAGGCTCACGCCACATATATGATTATATTCGCACATGTCAGGTAGAGATGGGAGCAGAAACACCAAGGCTCACAGACATCCAGTGTAGGGCTTTGACCCAGAGTACCTGTGTGACTTTGGATAAGTCACTTCTCCTTCTATAAGATGGTGATAATAGTAGCTACTCTACCCACTTTTCAGAGTTGTTGTTAAGGGATAATGAAAGGCTGGATGTGAAAGTGGTTTATGAACTCTAAAGAGCTGACCACAGCTGGAAACAGCCTTACAAGCCTTCTTCTCTAAACACCGAATGTGTGTCTCCTGATCTCACAGTCTCCCCTCACCCAGGAGATGGAGAAGGAGTGGAAATAGGCGATGGTCTGGCCTTGTCATCCTTTGGCTCCTTTGCACTTTGGGCAGTCCCTACAGGCTGGCACCCCTGCCATAGGGAGCCCTTGGCTGACCTCTCCACTCTAGGCACTGTCCTCTGCCTAGAACTGTCCTCTCCTACTTCTCTACATAGGTTATCTGTATTCACGGGGAATCAGGGTTCAAAGAGTGCCCCCACCTTGCACACACTGGCATTTTTATAGGCATCTTCAACGTCTTAGGGGAGTAAAGGTAGAATGACTTCAGACACTGTGAGATGGACCATATCTTTGGGCAGAGAAGGTGCCCCTCAAATCGCCCCCCACAACCAGCATGAGCACATTTGTATGTAAGGCTGGCATCTCCCCATTCCCCAGCCCTGTGGAACAGCCAGATCAGCAAATAGTGTGGGGATGGAAAAACACACTGGGCTAGGGGTTAGAGATCCCTGGCTCCTAGTCTCATCTGTGCCAAGAATTGACTGGGTGTGCTTGGGCCAGTCCCTCCCCACTCTGGATGGTCCTTTTCCTGTGTGGAATCCTGTGGGAGGGGTTAACTAGCTTTTATTCCAGGCCTTGCTCTGTGACTCTCTAGAGACACTTACAGCTCTCCAACTGCATCGTGCAGGTCTGGATGTCCATGGGGAAGTTCTTGAGGTCCATCGGGCAGGACAAAATCAGGGTCAACCTGGTGGGGACAGAAAGAAAGAAGTGACATCGGTTTACTTGGGCCCAGCCCAGCACAGGAGAACCCCCCTCCCACCCCTCGGCCTCCATCTGCCTTCTTTCCCTTGATGCAAACTCTCCTGGCCATTCACCAGGTGCACCTGATACTGTAGAGCACATTCCCATTCTTGAAGATGCGCAGTAACTTGTTGTCCGTGGTCACCTCATGAAAATTGGCCCCCTTCTCATTGGCAAAGAACAGGTCTGGCTTCCAGATGGAGTCTAGCATGGAGGGATCGAGGTCCAGAGAGTCGTCAGGATATTCTCGGTACGCCAGACGTGGGTCATTCCACTGCTGCCGCAAGAAGACATTCACCCGGTAGTCCTGGGAGGGTGCAAAGAGGCATCCCATCAGAGGCAGTGCTATTCCCAGCGTCCCAGCCAGCCTGCAGGGGCGGGAGAGCCATGAGGAGGAAATGCTGGGAGTGCATCTCCAGGGCAGTGGGCATTTTTGACTGGAGAAGGAATCTATCTTGGGATGATATGGAAGAGATGGGCAGGGAAAAAGCCTTCATTTAAGCACTTGCTATGTGCCAGGCTCTCTGCTAAGTGCTTTCTTTATATGCATCATCTCATTTAAATCTCACACCAACCTTGTGAGGAGAGTGTTGTCATGATCTCCACTTTACAGATGGGGACACTGAGGCAAAGAGAGATTTAAGTAATCTGCCTAAGGTAACACAGCTATGAGATGGTAGAGTCCAGATTTGAACCCAGGTTTGTCTGATTCCAAAGCCAGTGCTCTGCACCAAGCTACTTCACGTGTTTCACCATCTGCTGCTTAGACTAGTCTATCTTTAGCCATGGAAATCCGGGGCTAGGGAAAAATGTCCTCCCAGTGACCAACTTCAGGCATCCCATGGCTTTAGCTATGACCACGAAACAGGGAGAGGACAGAAGAGGGAGGAAATGCTTACTATCTGGTGGGCTTCTCCCATTCATCCTAGAGTGGAAGCAGGGAACAGGGAGACCCCTTACCATGGTGGTCTCAGTGACGGAGCCGAAACTGTTGATGAAGATGTTGCAGGTCACATTCACGGGTGGGCCTAAGGGTAGCAAAGCACAGCCCATTGGCAGGGCATTCCAGGAGATTGGGAGCAGGTCCCAGAACTCCCTCCCTTAGCTTGAGGCCAGGCCACTGCTGGGAGAAGGCAATGCCAGCCACACAGGCCCATGAGCAAAGGGGAGGAGAGGCCCCATCTCAGCTGTAAGAACTAACGCCGGACCTCCAGCCTCCTTTCCTTTTGGCAGGTGACAGGGTCTGGCTGGGTGGTGTGCTGCCAAAAGTGGTGGGGAGGGAGGGACTTTTGTAGGATGAAGGTTTCTTACCTTTAAAATTGGGCCGAATCCTGGCATCATATCCAGATGTTCGCCCCATAAGCTTGTCTAGGAAATCAGAGGGGGACATGGGCTGGGACCCTTTGGTCCCAGATTTGACTTCCTCTTTTGCCAAGGCCACCCTGGATAGGAGAGGTAAAGAGGTCTGAGGCCAGTTGTATTCTGCATTTATTGCAGACTCTCTCACTCCCCATCTCCACCCATCTCTGACTGATGTCCCCATAAGGCAGGAGGATAGGAGAGGATGGGTCTCTGGGTGCCATTTGAAAAATGAAAACAACAAAAACAGCCCTACGTCAACAGGGCAGCTCACCAGTTAGTACTAGAAAAGTGCTTTCGCATAGATTAAATCTTTTTACCCTCACAATTCTCAAGTGAGATGGGGGTGAAGACTATTATTTCCATTTTACAGATGAGAAAACTGAGGCTTCAAAAGGAGAAGTGACTTATCCAAAGTCACAGAGCTAGTGAGTGACAGGCTCAGGACCCAAACTTTGGGCTCAAGCGTTGTCCAGTGTTCTCTTCCTGAAGGTGCTTTGAGAGCACCCAAAGAAGAGTGATGTCTCACTGGAAATGATCTGGCAAGGGTGGAAAGGGCTCAAGGACAACTTACATCCCTGAGAGCTGGTCTCAGTTGCTTGGGCTCCACGCTGGGCTGCTCAGGATCTAGAACCCAGCTTCTGAAAGAGGGAGTCTTGGCTTCTGGCGCATGCTCCAGCAGGAAGCTCCGTTTTGAGCTATATTTTAATTCAGGGCTATGGCTGCTGCAGGCAGGTGAACTACTTTTGGCAAATATGGTGGAAAAGCGGGGCTCTAGGAGCATGGGAAAACCTCCCAGTAGAGTGGACATGCTGAGGTCAACTTCCATCTTTTTCCCCCTAACAGCTTGATTCTGAGGAAGGAGCCAGTGTGCTTTAGCCTAGCTTGGAAACCAGCCCCCTTCTCCTCTGACAAGTTTCCCTCTAAAAGCAGCAAAGCCCCCTCCACATACCTGATTACCAGCTAACAGACTAGGGGCCCAGAGCTCAGCAAAGCCTTGGTGGCAAGGGTAGAGCTCAGGCTGGACTCCTGGCTGGGCCAGGTGACTCCTGCCCCATCCTGCCATCATCCCTGGACCAGGCGCTAGCACTGCCACTGCTGCTGCTACACTGTGGGGCTGGGCGGCAGTGTGGCTGCTGTCCTGCTGGGTCCTAGTATCCTTTGAGCCAGCAGGCCCCTCTTTCCCAGTAAATGCACGCACCAGCCAGTGAGCAATAGAATAATAAAAATAGCTAATGCACCATACTAAATGCTTTGCACACCTTGTCTAATTTGGTTCTCACAGAGTCCTCTCAGATAAGTGTTATGGTTATTTCCATTATATAAATGAAGAGATCAAGGATCAGAGAGGTGAAGTGACTTCTTCATGATCGTGTAGCTAGTGAGTGGTAAAGCCAGGATTCGAACCCAGAGCTACTGACTTCAAAATTAGGTCTATCTATCACAATACCATGATGCAGACAGTCCAGGGTGGGCAGCCAAGGAGCCAGAGTGGCGAAAGGTCAGTGGCGGCCCCACTATGACCTCCCAGAGTCTTGTCTCCTTGAATCCCCCTAGCAAGAGGAAGCTCTTACCCTGAGGACAGAGGCCTCCCTAGCCCCTAGCAGGGGCTGCCAGAGGAGGTGGCCTAAGCAGACTCTGAAAATCCGAGGAGGCTGGTGGTGGTGCTGGAGCAAGCAGAAGTCTCTGGCTTCACCACAGGATGTCCACACTAGCCAGGTGCTGCTGCTGCTGCTGCTGCTGGCCACCTGCCACCTGCCTGCTGGGAGGCCACATGGCCCTGCACATGGAGCAACCGGACCCTCCCTACCGTCCTCAGCCCCACTCTCAGGTCACCTCTCTTGCTAGTCCCAGCCCTAGGACCCTGGCATAGGCTGTGGACTCAGCTGTCTTGGGCCCCAACCCTTGTTGCAGCCCCTTTTTCTGGGGCTACCTTGTCTGAAGACCTAAGAGCAGAGTCACTGTGTGCTGCCACTCCTTCCTCTTTCATTCCTGGAAAGTCCCACACATTGGCAGGACCTAGGAAGCTCCAGAGCTGACAATCTTTTTCATGCAAGGCCTTGGGGTGGGGTCGGGGGAGAGCTCTGATTCTGCTGCTGGGCACCTGAGCGACCTCAGACTAGTTGCTGCTCCTCTCTGGGCCTCAGTTTCCATATGTGCAATGAAAGACTTGGACTCCAGACTCTCTAAGGGCCCATCTTGCTCTAACTGCCTGCACTCTTTAAGCTCTAGTGGGAATGCTGCCACTGGAGCTCCGCCTTTGAGGCAGCCTCCTTTCCATGAGGGCCAGCAAGGCCCAGCTGGGTGCCCCCTTCTGCCTGCATCCTCTTGTCAACTCCAGCTGAGCTGCCATTCCACTTTGAGCTGTTTTCACCCTTCAGAAGTTTCCTGCCCCGCTCTGCCTGACTGCCTGCCTGCCAACCCAATGTGTCTGCAAGTCGTGGGGCAGCAGGCTCCTCAGAGGCAAGCATCCCTGGGTGCTCCTTGGACTGAAAGGAAGAGGAGGAGGATGCTGTGGTGGCGCTCACCCCCTCCACCTTGGGAGGCACTCCTCTTATGACCAGGTCAGCCCAAGCCACAGCCATCTTTCCTGCTCAGCTCACCCTGCCAACCTAGACTGGCTCCTGGTCTAATGAGAAAGGGGCAATTGGTGGGGGGTCAGTTACAGAAAGCCCCAAGTATGTCTTGCTTGCAAGCCCAGGAAATGACTGCTACTTAGTTCCCCTCAAGGGACAGTGAGCAGCCAGCCATGTGCACACGGGCAGGGTGACTGCAGAGGGCCAAGGTTTGGCCAGCCCAGCTCCATCCTGATGTGGTCTTGGGGCAAATCCCTGCTACTTGAAGCCTCTTGGGCATGCAGCTGATAGATATTGCTGTCATTTTTAGGGATCTGAGCAGTGTGTGGCCCAGCTGGTAGGGAGACAGGCTGGGTGGCAGGACAGACAGCGTTCATTCTTTGGCTCAGCTACTTAGCCCTTACCCAGGCCCGGGGAAACTCCTACCCATGCACAAACCTTCCCACCGGCACCGTGGACTTGACATCTCTAATGAAAAACTCCTGGGTCCTGACTACGGGAGGGTGTGTCCTCCCCTGGAGCCCTCCAGACTGGGGGCCTTGTGCGAACTTAGAGGAAACTGTGCCAGACGCCCCCGGCTGCCCCTTGGCCAGTGTTTGCATGCACCTCCTCACCCCCGCTCAGCTCACCTGAGGAGGACGTGCCCTGGCAGTGTCCAGAGGAGAAGGAAGGAGAGGGTTGCAGGAACAAGAGCTGTCATTTCGCGGGGATCTCGGAGCCCTTCGTCAGCCTGGCTGCCAATGTGAGAGGGGCTATCCCTGCAGGAATACGAGAAGTACAGAGGCTTTCTCCAACTTGGGCAGCTCGCAAGGAGCCGGTGCAGGGTGCAGCCGGGCTGGGAGTTGCGCTCTCTCTCCTCTTCTGCCTCTTCTCTGCCCTGCCTTTATCAGTCAGGGGCCAGAACTATTCCCTTGGAAATGATCCTGACACAGATAACCCTACCGGCTCCTGCCTGGGATTGCCCTGGGCTCCGGAGGGCCTCAGCCTGCCAGCTGGGAGCTAGAAAAGGTTCTCTTTGGGCAGCAATCACTCTCCAAACCCTGGAGAGTCTTGGAGGGGAGGGAGGAGGGAGACCAGTAGGAAGATGTTTCCCTCCCTCCAACCCCCCCCCTCCATGCACCCTCCGAAAGCAGCAATTTAAAGGCACAGTCGGCAGCAGCTGGAGGGGTTCAGAGTGTGTGTCTGTGTGCCGGGGAGGAGCTTGGGCTGCTGCTGCTGCTGCTTAGGGAGGGCCAGAGGTGTTCTGTCCAGCCTCTAACTCTCGGGCTGGAGGAGGGGACTTAGGTGGCCCTGCTCCCCCCCTCCCCCAACAGCTTTCCTCTTAGCCTGGAGCCAAGCTGGGGCCCAACAGGAAAGTCCTAATGATTTTTATAAGGGGGGAAAGACCTGAGAAGGTTTAGGCAGAGCTATGGTATTCTCAAGCTGACAGCTTCAGGTCCGAGAGGAGGCGAGAGGGAGGCTGAGGGCTGGGGCAGCTTTTCCCCAACTGTGGACAGAGGCGCAGAGGATGGAAGACACACAGGAACTTCGGAGCCCTTCTCATGTATAGTCTGCCTACGAGACAGTCTGTCCTTCCTGGTAGTTGCACATCCTTTCCCCTGCCTGCTTCCCTCCCTCAGGTCCTCTCTGGTGAGCTTGGAGCCCTCTGTAGCTCTCGGAATCCCTCCTCCCCACACCCCTTCCCCAGCCTGGCCCTGGGAAGGGATAGCGGTGCAGAGCAGGGCTGGGGCACAGCAGGCTCTGCAAGCTTCAGAGGAATCGCAGCAGGAGCAAGGGCAGTAACCTAGCAGCCCTCAGCCCAGATCGAGAGAGGCAGAGGGCAGAGGGTGGGTGTCCTGCTCCCTCACCTTCTACACATTTGCTTACAGCACCCAGGTGCTTCAGCAGCTCCGTTTTCTCCTCCCCTACCCTTCCCCAGGCCCTTCCCCAAACGTTCCCATGCGGCATCTCAACAGCTCTGGGACCACCCCCCCCCAATCCCAGTGCCTCTCCCGCTCTCCCTCCTTTTCTCCAATCTCCTCCTTTCTTCCCCTCTCCCTGAAGTTTTGCCTTCATCTGTCCTCTCTCCACCTCACGCTCCCATCTCCTGTTTCCCTGTTTCTTCTCTTTCTCACCTTCTGTGTCTGTCTCCTCTTTTCTTCCCCCCTCGCTTTCTCTCCATCTCCGTTTTCTCTCCACCTCCCCTTTATCTTCACTCTCACGCTCTCCTCCAAAAACGACAGCAGCGAGAAGCCAAGGGTTTTCGCTTCTCCTTCGGGGGGAACTCTCCCACCTGCTCTGCGGAGTTCTGATTGCGTGTGTGCTGGGAGGGGGGTGTCTGTGCCGCCTTCCCAGGGTCAATCCCGCAGCTGACTGCAGCCTCCCCAACCCTACCAGAGAGGGGTCAGAAGCTCTTTTATGGGCCCCACTGGCTATGCAGATGGATTAACAAGGCAACCATGGATGGAACCTTTGCTGCAGCTCCCTTTTGGCTATGTTATTAAGGAAGAGGAATTTTCAAACCACAAATGAAAGGGAAAGAAGAGAATTATAAAGAATATACACTAAAATATTGATGGGAGAGCTGAGCTTTTGGAGTTGGGACTGAAAACATTACAAGCCTCCAATAATTCCTATATGGTCAGTAAATGCAGAATACCAATTATCCTAGAACATCTTTAGCCGCCCTCCCGCCTGCTCACACCCGCTCTGTGTTTCCCTTAAGTGTCACAATGCCCGCTCCTGTAAGGGCAGAGTTCAGGGCTGGGGAGCTGGCAGGAGGGTGGGAGGGACCAGGGTGCTTGTCTCCTGTGTGTAACTCACTCTGGCAAACCTGATCATGTTACTTCCCTGGCCTCAACAGTTCAACAGTCCCGCATTGCTTGCAGGCTGCAGCCCGAGGCCCTGAGTGATGTGGTTGCTCTGCTGGGCCATCCCATTGCTGCATGTAGAGCTGCCTGTTCTCTTGCTCCACATTCCCCTTCACCCAAAGTACTCTTCCCGCCATTCTTACCCCTCTGGACTGAGTTTTGTTGTCACTCTGTCAAGAGAGATTTCTGGAACTGCCCCCAGCCCCCTCAGGGTTAGGTGGTCTGGGTTAGGTGGCTCTCTGGTGTGTTCCCACAGGACCCTCACCTTGCCCTTCACAGCACTCTATCACACTCGGTCACAGTTGCTGGCTTACTTGCCTCTCTCCCCTACTATATCATGAGCTCCCCAAGAGCAGAGACACATCATCCACCAATTCCCAGGCAGTTAGTGAACATTTGTTAAAAGATTCATCCCGGGCACCCAGGGACATGTCCTCAAGCTCAGTGCCTCTGCATCTCTCTCTGTCAAACAAGAATGATAAGTTTGACACACAGAGAGAGGCCAGCAGGAGGTAATGGTAATAAGGAGTAATGAGAAAGCAGTTTTTTTTCCCTTGCCCCTCATGCCTGTAGTTTCACACTCAGTGACTGGAATTCTGGCCAATGGAAGGTATAGGCTCCTGGGGACTGGTCCATTGTCTTGGGCCTCGCCTCCTGTGTGTGCCATAGTGTTCCTGGGTGTTGACATCATAGCAGGGCCAGCTTCCTGGGAGGAAACATCCCCTCTTGTGAGGCTGCAGCGATGACCAAATGTTGGGCTGACATGGTAAAGAGATACAGCTTTCCTAGGGTGCTGGAAGCAGATATTTTGGGTAAAGAAGGGAGGAAAGGAGGCAAAGAACTGGGTATACTGCTGCTAGGAGTTGACAAGCAGCAGGAGAGATGCCCATTGGAAGAGTTCCTGTACCAATAAGAAGCCACACTCTGTGAAGGTGACCTCAGCATCTTTTTGTGGGAAGGGTACAAAGTCAGGTCCAGCCTTGCCCCATAACCTTTTTCTCTTGCCATTACCAAATTATGAATCTCCATGCTCCAAAATGTATTGCACCTTTTTCCTGTTTTGCAATTGGCTGCTGTACTCGCCAGAGAACTGTCTTTATTGCAGTGCTAAGGCTGTATAGAAGCTACAATAGGCAAAATGTTTCCCAGGATGAAAGATATTATTTTGTCATGAAAAAACTACCAAGCTACTAAAAATGGATTAAGCACATTTTCATAAATGTTTCATTCCAGGAAAGAGTCTGTCACATTTCAGCCCTATGCAGGGAAAATTGCAACGGGGCCCTCCTGACAAGCAGGCTTCTCTGAGGAGAAGTATGTCTGTGTTGGGATGGGTATTTGGTAAATTCAGTGATTTCTAGGGCTGCATTTTGGGGGTCAGATTGGAGAATAATTTGGCATACCTTCCTGGACCCGACTCCAATTACCCAGATCATATGGTCCCCATATTGTCTATCTCACTTATTGAAGTAGAAAATGGTTGAGGGATACCTTGAAAGGCAAGCTGCGTTCCCCAATCTGAGGAAACTCTCAGAGCTTTAGCTACTTTTCAGAAGTGTTGGGGTAAGAAGTTGGAGGGGGGTTAAAATAAAAGACAGATGCCTTTTAAAAAATCTGCTGACTATGACCAGGGCGTTTCAGTTGGATCTCTAAGGAGCAAGGCTGCATCTTTTTGCTGCATATGAATTTTTCTTTTCAGGGTTATTTTCAACTTCCAAGGATGTGCCAGTTTACTTGAAAGCAGGGGCTCAACTTCCGGTGCTTAGGAATATTGGCAGCAGAGGCAGGAAGCCCTTTTGCCCTCCAGACTTAAGGATATAGCACAGCGTGTGTGCAGGCAGGAGTGGTGGTGGGATTTTCACGGTCCTAGACTCAGGTGGAATAAACAAAATGGCAGACATGTTAGACACGTTCAGCACTCTCCTGACTTTTGCAGAGTGATTGGATCAAGTCCGATGCTTCAAAGATTTGGCTTTCTTCTTTTTGCGGAATATTTCAAGTATGGATTTTGCAGACAAAATCTGGGGTGTCTGAACTTGGAGGGGGGCCCAGGGAGAGGTGAACTGAGCTCCCCTCAGTCCCCAAAGACAAACCAGGTATCAGCACCAGGATAGCACCAGTGAACAATGGCCCTGCCTCTGTTGCTGGGCTCTGTTCAGTGTTCAGGGAACAATGGAGTAGCGAAACTCCAGCTAGGAAAGGTGTAGTGACTAGCACCCAGGTGTGCATCGCTTCCCCATGTTGGACCCTCAGAATCATCACTCATCCCATCCGCCATCTGAGAGTAATTCACTAGCTGTGCAGAAGAGTTTCATTAAGGTTTCCAGAGTTCGCACTGACTTTCCTTGTCTCTTGTCTCTTGTAAGTCTGCAACATTCTTGTTTGAGGATGATAGGACCATGTCATGCCTCTCCTCGAAGGTAAATTGGTTTTTGCTTATGATCATGCTCATGAATATCTTATTTGACTCATTTGGAGACTGTGATAATCCATGCTATATGAGGCATGAAGCCCTTATAGAACATAAAAGCAACAGAACTTGGAAAAATTAGGCCGGGCACGGTGGCTCATGCCTGTAATCCTAGCACTCTGGGAGGCCGAGGCGGGAGGATTGCTTCAGCTTAGGAGTTCGAGACCAGCCTGAGCAAGAGCGAGACCCCTGTCTCTACTATAAATAGAAAGAAATTAGCCAAACAACTAAAAATAGAAAAAATTAGCCGGGCATGGTGGCGTGTGCCTGTAGTCCCAGCCACCCGGGAGGCTGAGTCAGGAGGATCGCTTGAGCCCAGGAGTTTAAGGTTGCTGTGAGCTAGGCTGATGCCAAGGCACTCTAGCCCAGGCAAGAGAGTGA